TTAGTGTGAAACCGATCTTGCCGAAACAATTTCAACTTAACAATGCCTTCAAAATCATTGCCTGTAATCACAATATCATCCACATACACCACAAGAAAAATGAAGCCAGCTTTAGTGTGCTAGTGAAATACCGAATGATCGGTCTGGCATCTGCCAAGACCAAATTCTAATGCCGCCACATAGAATTTTCCAAACCAAGCTTGTGGAGATTGTTTCAATCCATACAGAGCCTTTTTAAGGCGACAAACAGTGTGACGATACTCCCCCTGAGCAACAAACCCAGGTGGTTGCTCCATATAAATTTCTTCAACCAAGTCACCATGTAAGAAGGCATTTTTGACATCCAATTGAAACAACGGCTAGTTACAATTGGTAACAATGGAAATAAGTACCCGAATAGAAGAAATCTTAGCCAAAGGGAAAAAAGTCTCATCATAATCAACACCATAAGTCTGAGTGTACCCTTTTGCCACAATACGAGTCTTCAACCGTTCAATATACCCATCGTGAAGGTATTTAACAGTGTAGACCCACTTACAACCAACCGTTTTGAAGCCCGGAGGTAGGGGAACGAGATCCCATGTCCAATTACGGTGAAGGGCATCCATTTCATCTACCATGGCTTGGCGCCAATCCGAATGAGAGAGACCATCCTGCAAAGTCTCGGGAAAAAAGTAGCAGACACTCTAGATAAAAAACAAGATAAAGAGGATGTAATATTATTGTAGGAGACAAAGTTAGAAATGGGATGTGCAGTGACACACGATCGAGGAGCCTTATGGAGAGCAATAAGCAAATCATCGGCATAGTAGATGGCGTCGGATTCGAGGACTCCAAAGGAGATGGAGGGAGCGAAGTAAGTGGTCGGGGTCGTCGAGTATAAACCTGCAATGGGACAACAGAGCTAGGAGGTGCGGGAGTAGGGAATAGAGAGGAAAAAGTTGGCATAGGTGGCTCAGGAGCAATATCGAGATGAGGACTAGGATCAGAAAAATAAGGGAGAGACTCAGAAAAGGTGACATCAACACTAGTGAAATAACGTTGAAAATGAGGACTGTGGCAATGATAACCCTTCTAATGCGGGAATACCCAAGGAAAACACACTTAGTGGCACGAGGGTCGAGTTTGTCAAGACCGGGTCTAAGGTTATGGACATAACACACACAGCCAAAGACCCAAGGAATAAGATTAAACGACGTGGAATTGGGAAATAGAACAGAATGAGGAGATTTCCCTTGTAACACCGACGAGGGCATCCGATTAACAAGATGACAGGCCGTAAGAACATCATCACTCCAAAATCTTTTGGGAACATGCATATGAAATAAAAGGGCGCGACACACTTCCAGAAGATGACAATTTTTACGTTCAGCTACTCCGTTCTGTTGAGGAGTATAAGTACAAGAAGATTGATGAATGATACCTTTAGCATGAAAATAAGTCTCAAAAGGGTCCGAGAAATATTCTTTGGCATTGTCAGAACATAAAACCTTGATTGAACACCCAAATTGAGTTTTTATTTCTTTTCGAAAGATTTGAAAAATAGAAAATAACTCGGAACAATTTTTCATTAAAAATAACCAAGTCATACGAGAATGGGCGTCCACAAATGTCAATAATAACGAAATCCAGTAATAGAAATATGTTTGATTGGTCCCCAGACATCTGAATGAATTAACTGAAAAGGACTAGCAACACGATTATTAGTTCTAGGTTTGAAGGACATGCGACAATGCTTACTAAGCTGACAAGCTTCACACGACATGGACTCAACACGACTAAGATTGGGTACTTGACGCTGCAAAACTGAGAATGATGGGTTGCCGAGACGACGGTGCCATTGGAAAGAAGACAAGATGAGTGAAGAGCCGTGGGAGATGGTGCAAAATCAAAGTAATACAAGCCACCTACTTTATGTTCCGTACCAATCTTCTTCTTCGTCGTGAGATTTTGAAAAATTCAACATGTGGGATAAAATGCAACGGAGCAATTAAGAGATTTAGTAAGTTTACTAATGGACATCAAATTAAAAGGGAATTGAGGAATATATAATACAGAGGAGAGGGACATGGAAGAGGTGAGATGAATAGTTCCTAAACCCAAAACTTTTGTTGATGATCCATTAGCAAGAGTAACACTTTGAGAGGAAGAACCAGTGTGAAAATCGGAAAAGAGATTAGAACTACTAGTCATGTGATTGGATGCGCCAGAGTCAAGAATCTAGGGAATCTGACGAGAGGACAAGAGACATGCAGGTGCACTACCTGATTGGGCAAAGGAAGCCATGGAAGATGAGGTGGAAAGTCGTCGTTGAGATATAAGCTGAGCATAGTCATCTCGGGGCAATACAGTGGCAGTGGGGATTGAAGAGTTTGACATGATGAACTGAGAGAGGGAAAAAAAATCTGACTGTCCGATAAGAAGGAAACAAAACAGAGTGCACCTGTCCAAAGAGAAGGCAGGGAAATGCTGCCAAAAACTGGCTCTGTCGGGTCCAGAAACGGGCCTACAGATCCTGGTTGAGCTTGAACCAGATCTCAGCAAAACCGGTTTTAGTAAACTAGGTTTGGGATAGTATAACCATGTGTCAGATATGCTAACCTGGTTTGGGATAACCGTACACCTGTAGCCAAACACCCCTCTTCTTCTTCGCAGTTACAGACTTAGAGATGCCGATGATGAAGCCAGAAGCCCTCTGCAATGATCTAGCAAACTGCAACTCTACAGGTGTAAGCGAGGATCACGACTCACCACAAATATGCCGCCAACATCAACTACACTGCACTGTCAATCTCTGCAACTTCTCGTAGACGACGACTCTTACAGGCACCAATCGCACCTCAGGTGGCTCCTCGTCAACTCTAACCAATTAACACAACGAAGAGAGAAGAAATATAAACTGCGATGACAACTTTGGTGACAGCAACAGAGAGTCACGCGACTCTGGCTACAACAAACAGAGGGTCGTCGGTGAGCTTGCTTGGGCTACCGTTGACCAAAGATCCAAGGTCCCTCGAAGCTTCACACACCTTCTTCGACTACACAATTTGCGACGGAAACAGCTTCAGATCGAAGCTCTAATACCATGTTCAAACTGGCGAGGAAGAGAGAGAGAGAGATGATGGAGGCTGCAATTGTTTCTCATTTCTCAATCAACCCTAAACAAACAAAGCTTAGCCTATATACAGGAATGAGCTAATTACATAATGACCCTACCAACTATGTGTAATTACAGCATGACCCAACATAAAATGTTCTAACAGTCATACAACAAACGTTTTGGGTAAGTGCATCTATGTCAGATAGGATGGTAAGGAGTCTTTGGGGTGGAAGATTCATCGGGTGGGAGGCATTGGATGCTGTGGGGACTTCCAGGGGTATTCTCGTCATGTGTGGTAGGAGATGGTGTTGAGGGTGGATATTTGGAGAGGTAGGTTCTAAATTTCTTGTGCCTTTGTTATGGAGGAGGATGGTTTTAGATGGGCTTTTTTCGGAGTTCATGGTCCGATGGATGTTGGGTAGAGATTTTTGCTTTGGAAGGAGCTTGGCTTGGTGAGGGGGTTGTGGCTCCTTTTGTGGTGTGTGCGTGGGGATTTCAATGGAAGCAAAACTCGAAATGCATCAATGGCCTCCAAATGGGTATCAAGATGAAGCTCTCATCCTCCTCTCTAACTGTGCCAACAAGAGCTCCTCCAAAATCCCAACCTAGCATCCACCCCAAGATTTCATCATGCTCCAATCTTCACGATTCTTGGATCAAATGAAAGCTCTCACCTTCCTCTTCCTTTTCTCTAACTAGCACAAGGCCTAAATATGCTCTAAGTGGATGAAATATAGGGGTTTTATGCGGTGGGTTTGGCATAGAAAAGGAAAAGATGAAGGAGGAGGAGAGAGGGAAAGGGAGAGAGAATCCAGATGAGAGAGGAGATTGATGCAAATGAGACCACAAAATCTGAATTTGTGGTCCTCTAAGTCTCTTTGGTCAAATGGTGGTCCCCCACCACTTGTAACAGCTCCCTAAATTGCCCTTTATGGTAACCTTAACCACGGGGAGTTCCAAAACAAATATCCAATCACGTACATATATACATACATGCTATGTAAATGCAATAATAACAAAAATAATAGGATGCAAATAAAATCGGGCAAATTCCCAAGCACGGAAATCCGGTCCCGGTCCCACACGGGGTCTCCCAGACTCGAAAACTCAAAAATGGTAAAATGTGCCAAAATGCACTTCTAAGAGTTTTAAGCTCGAAGAAATGTCCCAAACAAACCCCGGGACCCATGTGACACAAAATGAGGCACGAAAATAATAATTATAAAAAATAAAAATAAAAGCGTCGAAAAATCCGGGACATTACAGGAATGTTCTCCGAGTCTTGTTTAGTACAATTCCAGTTATCAAAAGCTGTACATGATTGGCCTCTACTTGGAGCCAAAATAGATAAAACTAGAGTTTATATATATATATATATATATATATATATAAAAATTAGGGTTGTTTCTGTATGTTCTTGTTTTAGGGTTTTACTTGGTAGTACTGTTCGATTAGTGTTTTATTTCATTGCCTATATGTGTAGTGTCTGGTTCGTTGATTTGGACACTTTTTGATGATTGAGCATATTGATTTAGTGATTTTCTCCCTTTGTATTCTCTCTCTCCTATCTTTCTTCTCTTCTGGTTTTACATCACAGCATTCCCCTGCAACAAGTGTTAGAACCTTTCTTGCCCTGCATACATTCATCATCTGACAACATTATAATGAAGTATGCTTAGATGAAGATCAATAAGTGTGGCTTTGTTGGATATAGCAGCTTGTTGGCAGCATCTCTATATTTGTGGATCAATGGGTTCATGGGTTGTGATTTTGGAAATGCTCCTCTTTTTTGCTTTTTAAATTAAATTTATTTTTTTGTTAATGCCAGTAAGAGATTTGACTTGCGCCCTCCATAGTGTCTTGCTCATTTTATTCACTTTTGATCGCTGACTCTTTTCAGGATCCAAGAAAGGAGATACTTTTGGCATTAAAGTCAGTTTAACATTTGGAGTTACTATGTTCCTTGGCTTGTTTGCATGGAACTCAATGTTTTGGACTAGAAAAATGATATAATTATGGATAGGGTGTTTGTACCGAGTAATTTGGCAGCTATATAAGCACTTACACTGTGAGAGAGTGTGTATTCTTATCATTTACTTTGCATAGAGTTGTTGCTGGACTCTATTTATTGCCTTTGGACTAACATCTGACTACTCAACAGGTATGTTTTTCAACTGGTGTGACTTTGTTCTCAAGGTTTTGGGACTAAAATTTTCGGTTATGTTGCTGGAAGTGCTAGTGAGCTTATCATTTGTGTAGCCATTAGAAGATTGATTTGATCATTAACTTTTTATCTGGCGTTTGAGAGCTTGTTCAACTTTGGCTAGGTCGGCCCCTCCGTCTCCATCCTTTTAAACGATTTTGTACTTTAAACTGTAATTTTGGGACGAAGGGGATAGGAACAGTGTTTAAAGGTATAAGACTATTCAGTGCCTTACTAATTCTAGGAGATTCATTGGACATTTACACGGAGATAATTGGATAATTACAATCACTTTTCCTAGTTATTCCCATATTACGTCTGTGTTTGATACGGTCTCATTTCTTACATTGCTCTCCTTCAAGAGTTGGCATGTCGCAACAGTTTTACCCTTTTGATGATAGTCACCGCTGGTATGACAGATTTTGCTAATGTCAACCTCTGTTAATGTGGAAAGCAAAAATTGGATACTTGCACTTCATTTTTTTGGATGCTTCCTAGCAGGCCTAATCCACCGCTCATTCGCTCCGTGCATCAATCAAGTAAGGTTTACTTTCTTTTCCAATCTTCATTCCTCAGGATGGCGGTCGGGAAAACGGACAGATGGGAAGTGTATTGGAGAAGCCCTCTAACTGCCTGAGGCTATGCTACGGTCTTACATTCGCCCACTTAGTATAAGCTGGAAGCACGGGGTGGGATCAACCAGATCCATCTCCTGAGGTCTTTGGCGCAGAGTGCGCGCCCTCACTCTTTCGGCTCTATTAGCTGGGAGCTCCATGGGTTTACTGATGGATGTGAGTGCTATACCTTCCTTTCTTTTCGGAGGACTTCAGATAATTTATTCCATACTTATAATTTTATTATTGACAGTCAAAAGAGATAATTCATTCAATAGTGATTTTTTAATTTTTTTTTGTACAATCAAAAAAATAATTTATTCAACAAATTTAAGGGTTTTTTTTTTTTTTTTTTGGTGATTTTTTTTGGGTCTCGTCAAAAGAAATAATTTATTCAATATATATATATATATTGGGTCTTATCAAAAGGGATAATTTATTCAAAAGAAATATATATATTTTTAATCTTCTTTTTTCCGTGCTTTTTTGTCTTGACAGAAGAGATAATTTCGACAATAAGTATTTTTTTGTTTTTGGTTTTTATTTTTTGTAAAGTGAGAAAATCTTTTTAATTGTTACATATATATTTTTTTTGGTCCAGTCAAAAGAGAATTTATTATTTTTTTTTTTCTTTCTTGGAAACAAATTATTATTCAATTTTCTTTTTATTTTTTTATCTTGCTAAAAGAGATGAAACATTTAATTGATATGTGTGACTGATTCTATATATCAGTTGTTTATCTTGCTTGCTATTTATCAAAAATAAATTAAAAATTAAAAAATCATGGTACTTGAAAAATATTTGATTTTCTTTCTTCAATTTTATTTTTTGATAGGAAAAAATCCACTTCATTATCAAACAACTTTGATATTCATTTGATTATCTTGATTTGGTATTTAATTGATTTGCTGTGTTCAATTTTATTTTGGGTAAAGTGCACTAAACTCTCTTGAAGTATGAGTTGATTGTAATAAACCTTTGTGAAGTAAGTAAAACCTCCCAAGCTATCATTTTTGTTGCAAACCATGATGCTCTGGAGGGTAGCACAATCACTGGTTCGGTTGCTGTATCGTCCCCAGATTCGATTTAGATACTACTAGATTGTGGTGTATGTGGCTTGGGCATGTGAGTGAGAAGGGGATGGATGGCATGGAATTTTGTGATGGAGAATTTAATGAGTTCTGCAAGAGTCATGAGGTTGCGAGACACCACACAGTGAAGAAGACTCCGTAGTGAAATTGTGTTGCAGAACGGATGAACAGAACATTATTGGGAGGGCATGATGTATGTTGTCCAATGCAGGGTTAGACAAAGTGTTTTTGGGCTGAAGCTGTTTCTGTAGCTAGTTACTTGGTTAACCGATCTCCATCGACTCCTTAAAACTCCAGAGGAGGTATGGTTTGGTCTGGTTCTCCTGCTAGCTACAATAATCTGTGAATATTTGGTGCCCAGCGTATGCTTATGTGAATGAGGGGAAACTTCAATTGAGAGGGCTAAAAAATGCATATTTCATAGTTATCAGCCTCGGGTCAAGGGATACAGATTATGTGCCCAGAGGCTTCGAGAAAGAAGATATTTGTTAGCAGGGACGTGATCTTTCATGGTCTGCGATGTTTACTCCCCAGAAGGATGTAGTTTGTTTAGGGAGAGCTTAGGGTGTCAATGAGTCGGTAGAGCTTGTAGAGGTTCTGTTAGAGGATAATCCTGTTCGGTTGACTCACAAGCAAGTGCAGTTTCGGGCTAAGGGAAATGAACAGTTGAAGTAGTTTAGTGTGGCTAGGGACGGGCCTAGGAGGGATATTAGGACACCTGAGAAGTATGGGTTTTCACATGTTGATTCGGTTGTTTATGCACTTAGTGTGGAAGAGGATATTGATGTGTCGTGTACTTATCATGAGGCCATCACAGATGGAGAGTCAGCACAGTGGTCTGTTGCCATGAGTGAGGAGATTGAGTCTCTTCAAAAAACCAAACTTGGGATCTAGTTAAGAAGCCTAAGGGCCAGAAGATTGTGGGCTATAAATGGGTTTTTAAGAAGAAGGAAGGAATTTTAGGGGTGGAAAATGCAAGGTACAAGGTACGCTTGGTGGCGAAGGGCTATACACAGAGGGAAGTGGTGGACTTCAATGAAGTGTTTTCTCCCGTGGTGAAACATAACTCAATCTGGGTGTTACTTTCTATAATTGCGCTGTATGACTTGGAGCTTGAGCAGCTTGATATCAAGACTGTTTTCTTGCATGGTGAGTTGGAAGAACAAATTTATATGCATCAGCCTGAGGTGTTTGAGATTTTGGGAAAGACAGATCATGTTTGCCTACTGAAGAAGTCCTTGTATAGGCTGAAACACTCTCTTAGACACCTTTGTGGTTGGGAATGGCTACTGTAAGAGTGAGTTTGACAGTTATGTGTATCACATGAAGCTCTCAAATGGTTCGTATTTGTATTTGTTGCTATATGTTTATGACATGTTGATAGTTTGCAAGAACATGCGTGAAATTGACATGTTGAAGGCTCAGCTTAGTGGTGAATTTGAGCTGAAGGATCTTGGTGCTCAAAAGAGGATTTTAGATATTGAAATTCACAAGACAGAGGAGTGGCCAGATTGTATTTGTCACAGAAGAAATACATTGAGAAGGTGTTAGAACGCTTCGGTATGCAGGCATCAAAGCCTATGAATACTCCATTGGTTGCCCACTTTAGGCTTTCAACACGATTGTCACCACGGACCGAGAAGGAGGTGGAACACGTCTCATGTTCCTTATGCTAGTGCAGTTGGTAGCCTTATGTATGCTATGGTGTGCATTAAGCCAGACATTTCACATGTAGTTAGTGTAGTGAGCACATACATGGATAGACTTGGGAAGGCCCATTGGCAGGTTGTAAAGTGGATATTGCGACTCTTACGATGTACTATTGATGTTGGGTTAGTCTATGACAAAGGTAACGACACACGTGGGAGTGTTACTGGATATGTTGATTCGGATTATACTGGAGATCTTGATAGGAGGTCCTTGACAGGGTATATCTTCACTCTTTATGGGAGAGTGATCAGTTGGAAGGCGGCTTTGCAGTACGTAGTTGGATTATCTACTACTGAGGCTGAGTACATGGCATCTACAGAGGCAGTGGAAGAAGTTGTATAGATGAGAGGCTTGGTTGGTGATTTGGGCTTGCAGCATGATGATTTGACTGTGTTTTGCGACGGTCATAGTGCCATACATCTGATTTAAAATCAGATGTTCCATGAGAGGAAGATTCTAGTGAGGAATATTGGGACCTCTGGTAAATATGATGACTAAGGTTATTCCTACTCTCAAGCTGAGGCACTATCTGGACTTGATTGGTACTTACAGTTTCTGAGGCCATTAGGGGCATGTGGAGGTGGCGAAATAAGTAGCTGGAGATCATGGTGCATAGCGTAATTCGAGCCAAGGTGGAGATTTGTGATGTTGTGGCCTGAATTTGGTGCTGGGTCGCGTTGCGACTTGTTTACGACCCGTTGGATGAGCTTTGTGCGGGCCTGTTTGACCCGTTTTATTTATTTATTTATTTATTTATTTTACCCTTTTTTGCTCATGGGTCGTGGACCCTAATTAGTTTCTGGTAGCCCGATATACAAGGGCGCTTATGGTTTAGAGTGGTGTAAGAGAGACTCCGAAATTCGTATAGAAACAAAGTGAGGGCCTGAAAACTTGTAATCTCCGATTTTACACATGGTGAAGATTTTTGCCAGATCTCCATCGTGGACGGAGGCAGTTGTCAAACAACGTATAAATCTTTGTGTTCTTTGTGTGGTGTGTTTATTCTGTCATGTTGCTTGGTTCGCTACGTTTGTCGTAACAGAACCAATTAAGGTTTAGATAATTTGGGAATTATTTGAATAAAATAAATAAAGGCCCTGTTTGGTGGAGCTTCTTGATATCAAAAATCCTTTCATTGATAAGGCCTTCATAAAAGGAATTTTGTTAAAAGGAATTCATGGGAAAAATGTTGTTTCACAGGTGTATTTCTTAAATATACATCCAACTTTCAAATTATTTTTTTCTTAACAATATTATCCCTTATCCTTGACAATTATTGCAAGCATCAAATAGAAAGTGGGCGGCAATGGAAGGTGGTTGTGGCAGCAATGGTGGAAGGCAGTAATGGAAGGCGACAGTGGCAGTTGTTGTGGAAGGTGGTTGTGGCACTGGTGATAGAAGGTGGTGGTTAAAACAATAGTGGGAGATGGCATTGGCAGAAGGCGACAGTAGCGATGATAACGGATGGTGGCAGTGGAAGAATGTGGTGGAAGGTAGAGGTGGTGGTGGAGGTTGGCGATGGCAGTAACAACAGCGGTGGAAGGTGGTGGTGGGTGCTGGCAGCGGAGGTAGCAAATGGCGGCGGAGGTAATGATGGCAGAAGGTAGTGGTAGTGGAATATGGTGATGGTGAAATGTAGTGATGGTGGAAGATGACATAGAAAATGGTGGTGGTGGTGGAAGGTGGCAGTAGTTATGGTGGAGGAACGAAGGACCGAGAGAGAATATAGGATGTTCTTGTTAATAATTTAAAACTACATGGACAAATTAGTAAAATAACAAATTTATCTATAAAAAAAATTGCCTTCTTAAAAGGTGGTTCTAAAAGCAACTTTTTGTTGCTTTTCTGAAATGGGCTTCCTGGCCATCGTCTTTTTCTTTTTCAAAAAGGACTTTA